AATTTTTGCCTGTTATACCAGAATTTAATGTATATATATATTGGAAACTCTTTTTCAGGTTTTTGTAATATACCACAACCAATAGTAACATTATGTTTCACATATTTTGCAACACATAAACATAAAAGAAAGAAAGGTTTTGTGAACAATGCTTAGGCCTTTTGTGATGCAATCTGAAATTGCCTATATTATTTTGTTCTACTTATTAATAATTTTCAAATGTGGTCATCATTCACTAACTTGATTTCATGATAGACTAATGTGTAGTAACTCAAAATTTGAAAACCACTTTTTTTGATATATAATAGATGTTGAACTTTGAGAATATCAAAAAATAATCCTTTAGAGTTCTAATTTTTTAAGAAAAATTTTCAGACCATTGCAGGAGGGACAGCTTTGTCTCGTGTTGCACAGGCTCCATCTAACTGCTTTTACTTTTAAGGGTCTCACTACACTATAGAAGAAAAAGCCTTCATGGTTGGGAAAGGAGATTTTCCATGAATTTTATCAAAAAGTCTAAAGTCCATATATTTGGGAAGAAAAGGTAGATGAATAAAATTAGTAAAAATGTAGATGAAAAGGAAATGTTTATGTGTGTGAGACAGCAGACATGGGAAAGAAGAAATTAGTGGGGATGAGTAAAACGAATGTTTCCAGTGGCACACATTAGACTCAATTGCTTCTTGAAGATGTTTTAAAACTTTTTATTAACATTGTAGAGGGACTAGGTATTAGTCAGTTGATAATACCAAGAAGTATAATCTATTTTTCTAGTATATATATGATAACCTAATATTTAACCTTCTTGAAAGCTAAGATTTGACTAACAGTTCTGCTGAACTGTATGAATCAAGTAATCATTGTTTTCATTCAAGATAAATGGAGAGAATAGAAGTCAACTGTGTTGCATGCAAACTAATTGAACTCTAATTTTCTGTTATTGAAAGTGGAACTAGGAGCAAGTTCTTTTCCCCCCAAATGAAAGCTTCTTTACACAGAGAATGAAACTCACAACATGTTATTAAAGTCAAGTATTAAGATTACTTCCTGTCTTTACTGTACTTAGTGGGAGAAAACTGGAGAACCTCTGGCTTAAAGAGATATAGTTTTACAGCTTCTTAGTACACCAGACAAGATGCATTAAATGCTGAATGTGAAAAGTAAAGATGGCTACTTCACACACATTAGAATGGCTATAATCAAAAAGACAGATAAGACAATAACAAGTGTTGGCACAGATGTATGGAAATTGGAACCATCATGCACTGCTTGTGGGACTATAAAATGACACAGCCTCTTTGGAAGCAATTTGGCAGTTCTTCAAAATGTTAAACATGTACTTACCAGATGACCAGCAATTCCACTATGCACCTATTAAAAGAAATAAAAACATATGTCTACAAAAACTTATACATGAATGTTCATTGTAACATTATCAAGAATATGGAGACAACTCAAATGTCCATCAACTGAAGAATGAATAAGCAAAGTGTGATATTGTGATTAATCAGCAATGAAATGGATTGAAATACTGCTGGCACATGCTATAACATGGATGAACCTCAAAAATATGCTAAGTGAAAAAAGCCAGTCACAAAAGAGTGCACACTGTATGATCCCACTTATATGAAATGTTCTGAATATATAAGTCAATAGACACAGAAAGCAGACTACTGGTTGTCTAGGACTAAAGGGAGGGGGGCTGATGGAGAATGACTGCTACTGGGTACAAGTTTTCTTTTGGGGTGATGAAAGTGCTCTAAAACTAGGATGTGTTGACAGTCACACAATTCTGTAAATATTGTAGTCATGTCTGGTGAGAGCATGCTTCTGCACATATGATGCCTCTAGCTGTGTCCTCACATAGTGGAAGGGGCCAATGATCTCTCTTTCACAAAAGCACTGATCTCATTCATGAGGACTCCACTCTCATGATCTAATCACCTGGCAAAGGCCCCACCTCAATACTGTCACATTGGGGATTAGGTTTCAACATACAAATTTTGAGGGGTCACAAATATCCAGACCATAGCAACACTTTAAATGGGTGAACTTTTTGCTATGTAAGTGATATCTCAATAAAGCTGTTAAAAATAAAGGTGGGAGCAGTTCTAGCAGCCTGCCTGTGGTATTCTCTCATTTCTAATGGTAGAGGGGGAAAAAGCAGTTCAAACATCTCAGATAGAAAATTGAACAGGTGCAACAGTGGAGACAAGGACCAAGTACTTGTCGCTTCAAGTTTTTCCAGATATATGAGTGGCAGGTCTCCTCTGTTTATGGAAACAACTATCTTAATGCCCTGACTATATGCTGAATTTGCCCTGACTATATGCTGAACACCCAGAAACTGCTCTTTCTATGATATAATAATTTCAGATCTATTCCTCTGAGAATACATTCTTTAACCTTCTCATTCTGCTACATCTATTACATCTTGCCTTTGGCGTTATCTGGACCTCTATTCCATGATCCTGCTACTACCTATCAGACCCTCCTGTTTTAATTTCCTTCCTATGCAGCTGATTCCTTTATTTACTACTCCCAATCACTCTCATGCCCATATTATCAATTCCCTTGGTCAATCTGCTACACTAAAGCCACCTGATAAAACTCCACTTCAGTTGAATATAGTCTTTTTCCTCCTCTCTTATACCTGGGCTGTTGCACTCTATAAGACAAAACTTACAAAATTATCAATACCATTGCCACTGTAAAGTTATCATATCCATTGGGCTTCTGAGACCAAGAACTCCTTTTATAATTTTCTTAATCAGCTTTTTCCTCTATTCTCCACAACTATTTTAAACTCACTTTAAACCTCTCACCCTACCATGTACATAACCCTTTTAGCAGATAAACTTGCCTAATACCTTAAAGAGAAAATAGAATCCATCAGCTGGAAATTATCTCAATTTCCTGCTCCTTAATCTATACCATTGACAGCTTCTGTACCTATACTTTCCTCCTGCTGAGGCCCCTACCACCTAAGTCCAATCCCTTCATATATTGTCTGGATCCATCTTTAACTACCTCCTAGGGCCTAACATTATTTCTTCTGTATCTTAATTTTTTCCCTCTCTACTGATGATCATATATTGGCATTTTACAAATGTTCAAGTTTCTCTAGTCTTAAAAAATACCCTCTAACTCTAGATTCTTCTCCAGATATCAATCTATTTCTTCCTTTTCCAGCCTTTTCTTCCTTTACAAATTTCTTGAAAGGGTTGTCTACCCTCGTTTTTGCTTCCTAATCCCTCTCGCTTTTCAACCAAATGCAATCTAATTTTCATCACAACCATTCTATTTAAATTACTATTGTAAAGGTCATGAGGATTTCCGTATAACCTAAGTAAGATTATACCATGGGAACAATAAGATGCAACTACACAGTGGCTTGTAAACGTGTCTATCATTTTCACGTTAAAGTTCCAATGTAAATGATTAGGTAGATGGGGCAGCTGTGTTCATCACAGTTTTTCTGGAACCAAATTTTCTTTCAAGTAATTGTTCCAACATTCCCTATGGCAATGTCATAATCTACATGGCTGTAGCTGGGTCACGACCACATTTAGATTCTAGCTGGCTTGGGGGGAAGAGGCATATCCAGATGGCTTCTGTTCTAGGCTTAAAAGTAGCAAACAAAAAAATCTGCTCATAATCCACCTGTGAGAACTTAATTCACTTGCCCACACCTAACATAAGAGAGGCTGGGAAAGGCAATCTATCTGCGTAGCCATGTGCCTGGGTGCAGTTCTATTACTATAGAAGAAAGGGAGAACAGACTTTGGCAGACATCTAATGGAAAGACTCCACAAAGACCGTCTTTTTAAATCCAATGAACAATTGTAATACTTATTTTTCTTGATTTTTCTGAAGAATTTGCTGCCGTTGTTCTTCTCCGTCTCCTTGAAATATTACTTGCATTTGGTTTCATGATTTTGAACTCTAGACCTTCCTTGTCTTTTAAAAGATACTTCTTTCCCTTTCTCCTCTAAATGAAGGTGTTTCCAAGAGTTCTGTGCTAAGCCTATTCTGTTCCTACTTGACACACTTTTTCTTGGTTATCCTAGAGCTCTCATGGTTTCAATCACCATATATAGGCTGATGAATCCCAAAATCCATATCTCCAGCCTAGATTTATTTCCTATGCTTCAGTTTCATATGTACACACACACACACACACACACACACACACACACACACACACCTTATAGGCACTTACCTCAATATCAGCATGTCCAAAACTGAACACTTCATCTTTTTCCAGCTCAACAATGTTTTCCAGTGTTCCCTGTCTTAGTGAACGACACCACTAACCATCTAGTTTCCCAATCCAGAGGTGTGATAATTGTTCCTGGGTCTTTCCTCTTTTTCTCCCCATGTAACCTGTCAATCACCAGTTGTAAACATTTTATCTCCTAATATCTTTCTAATCATCCCTCTTCTTTCCATCCACACTGGCATCACCCCAATCCAGGCCACTATCATCTCCTATCTGGTCTTTCTGATTCCCCAGTCATTCCCACTGAGATTAATTATCCCTACTGCAGCAAAACTTACTTTTCAAAAACGCAGATGTAATCATATTAATCAAATGTTTAAAATCCTACATTGTGTTTGAATTTCCTTTAGGATAAATTCAAGAATCATTCTTGTTGTTCATGTTCTCACCCAGCTTTTTTTCTAATCTCATTTTTATTTTTATTTTTTTTATTTTTTGAGACAGAGTCTCACTGTGTTGCCCAGGCTAGAGTGAGTGCCGTGGCGTCAGCCTAGCTCACAGCAACCTCAGACTCCTGGGCTCAAGCAATCCTCCTGCCTCAGCCCCCTGAGTAGCTGCGACTACAGGCATGTGCCACCATGCCTGGCTAATTTTTTCTATATATATTAGTTGGCCAATTAATTTCTTTCTATTTGGAGTAGAGATGGGGTCTCGCTCTTGCTCAGGGTGGTTTCGAACTCCTGATCTAGAGCAATCCGCCTGCCTTGGCCTCCCAGAGTGCTAGGATTACAGGCATGAGGCACCGCACCCGGCCTCTAATCTCATTTTAAATTAACCCCTTCCATAGTTTAAAGTTCAAGGGATACTAACTTCTCTGTGTTCTTCAAAATGCCTTCCTAAAAGGGTACAATATCACCCTTTACTTATGAATACATTATAACATATTTTAACTGCTTGTCTGCCAATGTTTCAAGGCTGTGAGCTCCATAAAGGTAAACATTATCTCTAATGTATTTGTGTCATTTTCTTCCTTACGCATGTGTTTTTTTAAATATAGAAGTGAAAAACATAATGACATTACTAACTATAACTGATCAAACTCAACAAATATTACAAGAGTCGAAGAGAAAATGTATTTGTAATTAGTTAAGAAATGGCCTGACTAAAAAATTATTTCTTCAATTCAGATATTTTAACAGATCCTTTTGTGTCAATTGTTCAAAACAGCGATCATTAAATGCAGTGCCATTTAATGAACCTTGTCTAGATTCTGATTCAAACAAATCAACAATAAAGACATTTTGGAGAGTATTGGGGAAAATCAATCACAAAGTATAAATTATATCAAGGAATATTGCTAAATTTGTGTGACAGTTACATTGTAGTTATGTTTAAAAAGGTCTTATCTATTAGAGATGCTTAGTGAGGTATTTAGAAGTAAAAATATATGATGCCCGGGTTTTTGTTTTGAATATTCCAGATGTATTCATGAATTACTTCTTTAAAGAGGAAAATTTTTTAATTTCAAAAAATTCATAGGGACACATGGTGGCGCTACAGGATAAGATGAAAACAGTACATGGGCTGCCACTGTGGGCTCCATTATTCAGAACAGAGAAGATCTAACTCACTGAAAAGAGCAGTATTAAAGGAGCTACACCTACAGAGCTGCTGGAGGGCTATCTGCTCTCCAAGGCAGTTTCTATTGAAAAATCAGAGCTTTGGCTTCCAAATACGGGGCTGAGCTTAAATTTTTTCACAAAAGAGGTTGCCTGAAGGAACCATGGAGATCAGAGGGGTGCTCACTCTGCGGAAAAGGCAAGTCCTGATTTTCTTTGTTTTGCTGGGATTGTCTCAGGCGGGTACTGAATCTGCCCGCTATTCCGTGGCAGAGGAAACAGAAGTCGGCTCTTTTGTGGCTAATCTGGCAAGGGACCTGGGGCTGAGGGTGGAGGAGCTGTCCTCACGGGGGGCCCGGGTAGTGTCTGATGATAATGAAAAGCATTTGCGCCTAGACTTGCTAACCGGGGATTTGCTCCTAAATGAAAAACTGGACCGAGAAGAGCTGTGTGGCTCCACCGAGCCCTGTGTGCTGCATTTTCAGGTGGTATTGGAAAACCCTTTACAGTTTTTTTGGGCTGAGCTGCATGTCAAAGATATAAATGATCATTCTCCTGCATTCCTGGACAAGGAAATACTTATTAAGATATCAGAAAGTACTACTACTGGAACCACATTCCTAATGGAGAGTGCTCAAGATTTGGATGTTGGAAGCAACAGTCTCCAAAACTACACAATTAGCCCCAATTCTCATTTCTACATTAAAATTCGAGACAGTGGTGATGGAAAGATATACCCAGAACTGGTCCTAGATAGAGCGTTAGATCATGAGAAGGAACCTGAACTCAGATTAACACTCACAGCACTGGATGGTGGATCCCCACCCAAGTCTGGGACAACTTTGGTTCTCATCGAGGTCTTGGACATGAATGATAATGCGCCTGAGTTTCTTCAGGGTCTCTATGAGGTGCAGGTCCTGGAGGACACACCCCTTGGCTCCTGGATTATCACCATCTCTGCTAAGGACTTGGATGCAGGAAATTATGGGAAAATATCTTACACATTTTTTCATGCATCGGAAGATATTCGTAAAACATTTGAAATCAATACAATATCTGGGGAAATTAATTTGAGATCAAGCCTGGATTTTGAAGTAATACAGTTCTACACTATAAATATTCAGGCAACAGATGGTGGGGGTCTTTCAGAAACATGTACCCTTCTAGTTAAAGTAATAGATGTAAACGACAACCCACCAGAAGTGACCATGTCGTCAATTACAAAGACAATTCCAGAGAATGCCTCAGAGACCTTAGTGGCTCTTTTCAGTGTCCGAGACCAAGATGCTGGGGACAATGGGAGGATGGTTTGTTCTATTCAAGATGATCTCCCTTTTTTTCTGAAGCCAACTTTCAAGAACTTTTTCACTCTAGTTTCTGAAAAAGCACTAGACAGAGAGAGCAGAGACGAGTACAACATCACCATCACAGTCACTGACTTGGGGACTCCCAGGCTGCAAACACACTACAACATAACGGTGCTGGTCTCCGACGTCAACGACAACGCCCCCGCCTTCTCCCAAAGCTCCTACACCCTGTTCGTCCCGAGAACAACAGCCCCGCCCTGCACATCGAGCGTCAGCGCCACAGACGAGACTCGGGCTCCAACGCCAGGTCACCTACTCGCTGCTGCCGCCCCGCGACCGCACCTGCGCTCGCCTCGCTCTGGTCCCATCAACGCGGACAACGGGCAGCTGTTCGCCCTGAGGTCGCTGGACTTCGAGGCCCTGCGGGCGTTCGAGTTCCGCGTGGGCGCCGCAGACCGAGGCTCCCCCGCGCTGCGCAGCGAGGCGCTGGTGCGCGTGGCGGTGCTGGACGACAACGACAACCCGCCCTTCGTGCTGTACCCGCCGCAGAACGGCTCGGCGCCCTGCACCGAGCTGCTGCCCAGGGCGGCAGAGGCCGGCTACCTGGTGAGCAAGGTGTGGCGGTGGACGGGACTCGGGCCAGAACGCCTGGCTGTCGTTCCAGCTGCTCAAGGCCACGGAGCCCGGGCTGTTCAGCGTGTGGCCGCACAACGGCGAGGTGCGCACCGCCAGGCCGCTGGGCGAGCGCGACGCGGCCAGGCACAGGCTGGTGGTGCTGGTGAGGGACAGTGGCGAGCCCGCGCTGTCTGCCAGCGTCACGCTGCACGTGCTGCTGGTGGACGGCTTCTCGCAGCCCTACCTGCCGCCGCCGGAAGCGGCCCCGGCCCAGGCCCAGGCCGACTCGCTCACCGTCTACCTGGTGGTGGCCTTGGCCGCGGTGTCGTCGCTCTTCCTGTTCTCGGTGCTGCTGTTCGTGGCGGTGCGGCTGTGCAGGAGGGACCGGGCGGCCTCGGGGGGTCGCTGCTCGGTGCCTGAGGGCCGCTTTCCGGGCCACCTGGTGGATGTCAGCGGCGCGGGGACCCTGTCCCAGAGCTACCAGTATGAGGTGTGTCTGACGGGAGGTAGTGGAACAAATGAGTTTAAATTTCTGAAGCCAATTATCCCCAATTTTCAAGTCCATGACACTGGTAGGAATATGGGGGAAAAGGAGAACTTTCGGAATAGTTTTGAATTCAACATTCAATAAAACAATTTACTTTAAACTTTCTATTTTTTACTATTCTTGGCAAACTAGGGGTACTTTTTGCTTGATGTAGACTCTAGGTTATACAGTCGCTGTGTGCATGATCATTGCTTATGCTCTCCTGACAGTTGCTTTAAAAATCCTTATTAGTGGCTATAATTATATTGAAATATAATCTGTGTCTTCTGGGTTTTCATTTATTTAGTCAAAAATGTTATATTAATGGAGTTATTGCTATTTTGGTATGATAATGGTATTGTTTCGCAAGACACTGTCAATTATTTGGGTATGCAAACTAGAGTATTACAAGCAAATATCAAAGTTTATGTAATTTACTTTTAGACACCATTAAAACAAAAGTTAAAAATAAAAAATGTTGTTGAATATGGGTGGAATGTATGTTGGATCGATCGCACTATTTTCTCTGAAATTTTTTATCATAAAGGGTCAAAAAGATGCTACCCCTCCATTTTCACTATTGGAGAAACTTATTTGTTTGTTCTTCAAGGATTTACTTTCTGGTAAAATTAAAGTGACCACACTGGAAATTATTGATTTCTAAAATAATTTTTTCTCCAATCATATTTTTGTTGTTGATGATGCTGTTGTAGAGGAGGAGTCCTACAATGCTCTGGGCCTTGATATTGATATTTAGTTTTCTTTAAATATGCCATGTTTATGAGTTTAAATTTTGTATTGTTCACTACTAAAACAGAAAATAGTTTAGAGTCCTATTCTGAGTAAAATAACCTTCCATCAGAAGAGTACAAGACAAAAACTTCTTTAAAAATTGAAATGAAGACTGAAACTGTCAAAGAAAATGATTTAAGTTCACTTCTCTATTCATCATTGAGTAAATATAAAACATCATTCATAATGTGTTGCCTCTCTCAAATGCCTACAAGGAAGGAATCAGTCTGCATTTATGGTTTATAGATTCCCCATCATGTTACAAATTATAATATCTCAAATCTATAAGTGGACAGCCAAATGGAAGATTATAGATAGAGATTTATTAACTAGAATATAGCATGGATATAGGGCTAGTATATATATATATATATTTGTACTTGCTCTCATAAAAAATAAATACTATTATAGACTAGATGATTTCATAAAATGGAATTTCACTTGCCATTGCAAAATAGGTGCAACAAATTCCAATTTCCTTAGGAATCTTTTTTCCCTCTGCTTCATGAAATTTGAACTGGTTTTATTTTGTATTGCAACAGGTATTTATTAGTTGTGTGGACTTCATTTAAATTGATGTTTAAACAATAAAATCCTGAAAAGAATGGTTGGGTCCTCATTATCCCTCAGAGTCATAAGAAACAAAACCATACCCATGAAAACCACACGTAGATCAAACAAGTAAAAACTGAAGACAGAAGGAAAGAAGAATAGAATAAGAAGGTAGAAAAAAAGTGAAATGGAAAAAAGAATAAGAGTAGTGTATCTTTACTTCCACCATTATCCAATTATAAATGAAATTTTAAAATAGTAGTAAAATACTATGTTTCTAGGAATGAGCCTAAAAAGGAAGGCAGAAAACCTTTATTAAAAAATGATGTAAATAAAACAATAAATAAAATAATTAAATGTCTAAAGAAATTGAGAAAGATACTGTTTTCTTGATAGAACAACTTAACACAATAAAGAGCTATTCTTCCCAAAATAATTTATAAATTCAACATAATACTGATGAAATTCATGATAAGTAGGTAAAGATCTACAAATAGTTCCTAATATTAATATGGATGATAAAGTTTCACAAGGAGTTAAGATATTTTTAGAAAGAAAAATGGGGCAATGCCTAAAAAGAAAAATAGGTGAATGCTTTACATTATAGATATTAGTACAGATTACAAATCTAAAGTAAGTATAATAAATCTATTTCAATGATTCAGAAACAGACTCACAAACTACCAGATAGAATAGAATCCATGGTCCGATCTTTAAATAAAAGAGAACTTGTTCATGATATAGGGGGTGTAAAATTATCACATGGATTAATATGAAATCACGTGTACAGACTATGTAGAGAGCTTTCTGACAGTGTTTACTGAAATTTAACCTGTACATACTCTATAATTAAGCAATTCTACTTTGGGCTATATAATATGCCAGAAAACTCTTTCACAGCTTTAGAAAATGATGCATATAAGAATGTTTTCCTTGGGAAAGCAAAGAATAGTAATCTACTTACATATCCATCAGTAAAGCAATTGATGAATAAAATGTATAACATGTTGGTAAAGGATTATTATGCAGCGACTAAAATAAGTGAACTAGGTATGCAACCACATGGATAAATCCCAAATGCTTTAAAAGAAAAAAAAGAGACTGAGATTTATAGTACTGTGAAATAAATAAATAAATATATATATATTATAATATAATTTATTCAACATGCAGTTTGGAAAGTTAATAAGATAAAAAAAATATAGAGGAGGTAATTAGAATCACAGAAATGAGTAAAAAGGTTTAACATATATTTAACCAGAATCACAGAAAGAAAAGGAGAAAGATTAGATCAGAAGCAATATTTTAATAAATAATGACTAGAAAATTTCCAGAATTAATGAAACATTGATAAACAGATTTAAGATCTCTAAATAAACCTAACAGGATCTATTAAAAAGATATTCATGTCTAGAAACATCATAGTTAAATTTCATAAATCCAAAGACAAAGAGAATTTTTTTAAAAGCTATAGGAAAAACATTTAACCCTCAAACACTTGACATTTAGACTGATAGGTATGCTCCATGTTTCTCAACAGCCATAATGGAAAATAATAATAGAAAGTGAGATATCTTTAATGTGCTTATAGAAATTAGCAAACCTTTCTTACCTAAAGTGTCTAAGGGTCACCAAATAAGAATCAAATCAAGTTGATATCAGTCTAATTTTAAGTTAATCAAGATCACAGGAAAGAAGTGGTGTAAAGACCTTTTATCTCTCAAATATAACTTCTTAAAATTTTCCTCTTTGCCCATTCCTTGCTACAATTCTGTGTCCAGGAGTTTGACCTAATTCTGTTTCTCGTCCTTTTCCTCTCTAATGACAGTCACTTCTCCTCTAGTCTAGTCACTTGTGATTATGGACACTCTCTGGAAATGCAGTTTTTGAGAGCTGCATCATCTCTGAAATCACGAATTCAAACATACTTTTTTAAATCTATGATTTACTGTCTTTCTTGAAGGGCTTCAATCATCATTTATATCAATAAATCCTAAATGTGTTTCTACAGACCAAACCTCTTTCCTCAACCTCATTTATGTAATGGAAGATAATTTATATCAACATCTATATGGATGCTAACTAAACATGTTTTGTTACAATTTTTTTCTTCCTCAAAAACTGAACATATCTTCTCCAGCTCCATACCTGTTCCTCTCCGTTCTCCTCTTCCTGTGTTTACTCTATCAGTCAATAGCATTACACCCACTCAGTTCTCTAAGCCTGAAAACAAAGTACATTTACTTTTATTCTTTCTTGTCCCATTCCCTCAATTCCATGTCTACTCTATAACCACACCCTGTATTATTTTATCATTCTATTACAACCCCATTACTGCATTTCTAGTTGAAGCCCATATCATGTCTTACCTATATTACTGCAATCACTTCTAATCAGTCTCTGGCCATTAATCTTACTCCTCTCTAATTTGTTCTCAACTCTGAAACAGGATGATCTTTCGAGAAAACAAAAACATGATCATGTCATGTTTCTATTTAAAACCCTTTAACAATTTTACATTTCTACTTGTGTAAAGTCCACATGCCTTGGCACAGCTTACAAAATATTTGCTTATCTTTCCAATTTCAACTCCCATCATTTCTCTCCTCTTTCTCTATGTCTCCATCATATTGATCTTATTTAAGTTCCTCTAAAACACTTCTCTCATTTGGGATTTGTGCAATCATGTTTTTAGTTTGCCTGAAAAATTTTACCTCATGCCCAGTTTTTATTTGGATTGCTCCTACTCATTTTTCATGTATCAATTTAAAGTATACTTTCTCCAGAAAAGTCTGTCCTGTACTTCCAAATTCTTATTAAATGACCCTCATCCATGCTCTTATAGTAGCATGAACTTTCCCCATCATGACATTCATTATGCTTTATTTTAAATGTGTGAACATTTTTGTCTTTTTCTTTTATGGCAGGAACTTTGTCTTTCTGTTTACCATTCTATCTAACAGTAATCACCATTCCTAGCACAAAGTGTATTCTCATAAATACTTTCTGAACTAATAAATAAATAAATAAATAAAATATTTAGATCTGTGCCTCTGGAAAGCCTAGGTCTGCAAAATGGTGAAGTGCAGTTTCACAACTAAGCTGGAGTCTAGTTTGTTTAACTTTTTTTATGTTGTCAGAAACTGGACTTATTTTACTTTATTACTACTATTGAGCATTTATTTTCTACTTCTGCTAGGTAAGGCTCCTAGTGAGTATTCCTAAATAAATGGTGTGATTTTCCCAGCCTGAAATGTCCAACCTCCCCTAAACAACGATTTGCATATACCAGGTGCAGTTTCAAGTGAATAACCTCATTCTTATCTTTTCTAAGATTATTTGATGATAGTTAGAGCTGAGACCTCTAGTTCTCATTTCCAATTTTCCTAAAAACCTCTTGCTTACATGCAGGAGTACTCTTAACTATCTTTAGTTGTTTTATATGCTGGCTTCACAGAGAGTTCACAATTTATTTGAGACAGGGACTATATGTTAAATATGCTTTTTATATCCACTACAGCTCTAACAGATTGTGGTTAATGACTGAATGGTAATAGCATCACATATCACACACACACACAAAAATGCAACTAAGAGGCATATATGAGGAGAAAATATAATTTAAATTTATCAACAAATACATGAGATAAGTTAATATTCTGTCTCAAAATGCAACTCAGAAAAGAAAATAGGCCTAGGAGGAGAAAATATATGATTTACATTTATCAACGAACACAGAAAATAAATTAATATTTTGTCTCAATCCTGAAAATCTTCAAAGTCGCATGGTGGCGCTGCAGGATAAGATGGAGAAATTTTTGTAACAGTGTATGCTCTGGTTTCCCTTAACCGGTGGAACTGAGAGCGCTAGAAAAACAGGAGAAAAGAGGCTTTCAACAGAAAAGTAGGGCACCAAGAACACCCTTGCAACAGGATTACAAGCTTATAGATTCCCAGAGGTCCAAGTTGATGGATAAGAGGTGCAACTCCCAGAGCTGCTAGAGATTGAGCGGAAACGTTTCCGCAGCAAGACACTGGGCTGAGGAGTCATGGAGCCGGGAGAGGGAAGAGCTCGGCAGATAAGGCAAGTGCTGCTTTTCTTTGTTTTCCTGGGTGGGTCTCTGGTGTGTTCTGAGACTTGGAGATATTCTGTGGCAGAGGAAACAGAGATTGGCACCTTTATAGCCAACGTGGTGAAAGACATGGGTTCGGATAGAGAAGACCTGGCTGCACGGGGGGCCAGAGTTATCTTTGACGACTATAAACCATACTTGCGATTGGATCAGCAGACTGGCAACTTGCTCTTAAATGAGCAACTGGACCGGGAGGCACTTTGCGATCTCACGGAGCCATGTATACTGCATTTCCAGGTGCTATTTGAAAATCCTTTGCAATTTTTTCGAGCTGAGCTTTTGGTCAAAGACATAAATGATCACACTCCCACGTTCCTAGACAAACATATACTTCTAAAAATCTCAGAAGGTGCTACTCCAGGAACTTCATTCCAAATGGATAGTGCTCAGGACTTGGATGTTGGAAAGAATGGTGTCCAAAACTACACATTAAGCCCCAATCCCCATTTCCACCTTAAATTACAAGACAGTGATGAGGGCAGAAAATACCCAGAGCTGGTCCTGGACCAATCTCTGGATCGAGAAAAGGAGCCTGAGCTTAGTTTGACGCTAACAGCCCTGGATGGCGGGTCTCCGCCCAGGTCCGGGACTGCACTGATTCGTGTTGTGGTCCTGGATATCAATGACAACGCACCCAAATTTGACACGTCGGTCTATGAGGTTCGGGTACCGGAGAACAGCCCTGTGGACTCCTTGGTCATCAAGGTGTCCGCTACAGATTTAGATGCAGGAACATATGGAGAAATATCTTATTCATTTTCCCAGGTCTCCAGAGATGTGCGGAAAACATTTGAAATCCATCCAATTTCTGGCGAAGTCCATTTAAAAGCACTTCTAGATTTTGAGATAATTCCATCTTATATCATAAATATTCAGGCCATTGACGGTGGGAGCCTTTCTGGAAAATCAACCATTTTAGTTCGGGTTGTAGATGTCAATGATAACCCACCAGAAATAGCCATGACGTCTCTTACCAGCCCCATACCGGAAAACTCTTCACCTGAGGTGGTGGTCGCTGTTTTCAGCGTAAGAGATCAAGACGCTGGAGACAACGGAAGAATGGTTTGCTCAATCGAGGACAACCTCCCCTTTCTCTTAAAGCCTACTTTCAAGAATTTCTACACCCTGGTAACAGAGCGCCCGTTGGACAGAGAGATAAGAACCGAGTACAACATCACCATCACTGTCACCGATATGGGGACTCCCAGGCTGAAGACGGAGCACACCATAACCGTGCTGGTCTCCGACGTCAACGACAACGCCCCCGCCTTCTCCCAACCCTCCTACACCTGGGTTAGGTTGGAAGCATAACCGGCTTTAGAAACTTGAACTCGCTGGCCTCTGAGCCTCCCGTCAGACACACCTCATACTGGTAGCTCTGGGACAGGTCCCGCGCCGCTGACTCCACCAGGTGCCCGGAAAGCGCCTCAGGCACCGAGCAGCGACCCCCGAGGCCGCCGGTCCCTCCTGCACAGCCGCACCGCCACGAACAGCAGCACCGAGAACAGGAAGAGCGACGACACCGGCGCCAAGGCACCACCCAGGTAGACGGTGAGCGAGTCGGCCTGGGCCTGGGCCGGGGCCGCTTCCGGCGGCGGCAGGTGGGCTGCGAGAAGCCGTCCACCAGCAGCACGTGCAGCGTGACGCTGGCAGACAGCGCGGGCTCGCCACTGTCCCTCACCAGCACCACCAGCTGTGCCTGGCCGCGTCGCGCTCGCCCAGCGGCCTGGCGGTGCGCACCTCGCCATTGTGCGCACACGACTGCCTCAGACCACGGACCTGGGCGCTGTTCAGCCGTGTGCCGCACAATGGCGAGGTGCGCACCGCCAGGCCCGCTTGGGCGAGCGCGACGAACGCGCCAGGCACAGGACTGGTGGTGCTGGTGAGGTGGACAGTGGCGAGCCCGCGGCTGTCCTGCCAGCGTCACGCTGCAGCGGCTGGCTGGTGGACGGCTTCTCGCATCCCTACCCTGCCGCCCGCCGGAGCGGCCCGGCCGCAGGCCCAGGCCCGACTCCGCTCCACCCCGTCAGCCTGGTGGTGACCTTGGCCCGCG